TTAAGAGTAAAAGCGGGGGGGGGGGATGCTACTGGCATTTAGAGAGTCAAAGCCAGGGTTATTACCAATCATCCTGCAATGCACAGCCTCCCGCAACAAAGAATCAGCCAGCCCAAGGCATCAATAGTGTGAAAACTGAGAACCCCACTGGACCTTTCCCATTCACTTTAAACAAGAACTTGGATTTCCTTGGACGGTGAGGTGAGGTGTACAGAATATAAAACACATTTAAGCTCTTATTCTCTAAAGACTTTTCATTCATTCAAAATACAGTTATATTTGCCAGAATTGCTAACTTTGACTGCAAAGGATTAAACAGTGCCCGCTCTTATCCAAGGTTTTGTTTTCTGTGGTTTTAGTTACCTGCAGTCAACCACAGTCTGAAAATATTAAATCAAAAATTCTATAAATAAATAATTCCTAAATTGTAAAGTGCTAGCCTTCCTAAGCGGCATGGTGGCAGCTCACGCCCTGCGGCTTTGCCCTGCCCGGCGCAGTGGCTCAGCCCTGGCCCAGCCTGCCCGCACCGTGCGCTCCCCACCCGCCAGTCACTCAGTCGTCTCAGCTGCCGAAGGGACTGTGAGATATCGAAGTGTTTGTGTCCAAGCGACCCTCATTTTACTTAGTAATGCCACGTAACTTTTATTACAGTGTACTGCTATCATTGTTCTCTTATTATGAGTTGTCATTAGTGTCTCACCATGCCCAATTTATACATTAAACTTTATCTCTACATGGAGAGAATGTAGAAATAGAGGGTTCGGCACTGTCTGCGGTGTCAGGCAACCCAGGGGTCTCGGACGTTCCCACGGAAGAGGGGGGCCTGCAGTACTTAGAGGGGAGGCCCCGCCTTTCTGCCACTTTCCAAGGTTTTGCGCATCTATTGAGAATTCATCCTGTGCCTCTCTTCTATACCTTTGACTTCTTTTTGTCGGTTTTCTCTCACATTGGAAACAAAAACACAAAACGTTCTTTTTCCTGTGCACACTGGCCAACCCACCGCCCCTTTTCGGTCCCAGGCCTTTGGAGCATGACCTGTAATGACACGCTAATGTTCCTCCAGCCACGTGTCGCGCGCGCGTTTCGGGTGCCAGTGGGTGAGTGTGTTCGGGTCTGGTCCTTAGCTCCCCGTCCGTCTCCCCGTGGCGGTGGTCAGCCCGTGGAGAAGCCGCCCGTGGCCCCGGGGCCGCCTTGCTCAGCCGCCTGAGAGCTCCCCCTTCGGCCCCCGCCACGCGGCTGCTTCCAGGAGCCTGTCCTCAGCCATCCTCCTCTTCCCGCGTGGCTCTTTCCGAGAGACCCACTTCCACGGCCTTAAATGCAGCTTCTTTCCCACAGCTCCCGATGGAGAAGGTGTAGCTTCCACTCCCTTCGAGCTCCCGATCTTCTCTCCATTTACTGTCTCCTGGAAAAGCCACAGTCGGTTCGGTCTCAGGGTGCCCACACTTGAGATTCTCTCTGCTCCTGTCTTAGCCACTTGGGGCCCTGTAACAAAGCACCACAGGCTGGGGGAACAGCAAACAGTTCTTTCTCACGGCTCTGGACGCTGCGGATTTCAGAATGAAGACGCTGGCAGACTCCAGTGCCTGGAGAGGACCTGCTCGTTGGTTTGTAGACGGACATCTCTCTGCGCTCACGGCGCAGAAGGGACAAAGGGTTTCTCGGGGGCTCTGTTATAAGGGGACCGGTCCCATTCATGAAGGCTCCGCCTCGTCACCTAACCACCCCCGAAGCCCCCACTCCTAACACCATCACATTGGGATTTAGTTTTTAACAAAAATATCAGTCTACAGCAATCTTCAACCTGATTGTCTTCTTGCGTAACTTATGTCTCTGACAATCCAGCCAGTCACTCACGCCACAAACTCTGGAGTTATCCTACCTTCCTTTTTCCTTGCTTTTCACCCTGTTCTACCAGTTACCAAGTGTTTTATATTTTACTTTGTGAATATCTCTCATATTCATTTCTTTTTTTCATACCCAGTGCCACCACCTTGGGTAGGTGTGTCTGAATCACCTGTATTGGTATTAAAGTTAGCTTTTCCAACTAAAAAAAAAAAGATGATTATGTTGTTTCTCACTTAAAACTTTTCAGTGACCACTTTAGCTGCATAACAGAATTCACACTAATTAACGTGGCCCTTAAGTCATGTGTTTCCTCCTTGCTCTCCAGCTTCTTCTTCCATCACAATCCCCCGCCACCCTCCAGACAAGCTGGACGTGCTGTATTATTTTTGCCATATTTTTTGTTTAGAAAGTCCTGGTTGATTCAACTTTAATCCCTTTCTTAAAAATTAACTTTATTATTATTTTTAATCCTCACCTCAGGATATTTTTCTGTTGTTCTCCAGAGAGATTTGAAGGGAGCGAGGGGGAGAGAGAAACATCGATGCGAGGGACACCTTGGGTGCCTCCCACACAGCCCCCAGCCGGGCCAGGGATGGAGCCTGCAACCAGGCGCGTGCCCTTGGCCAGAATCAAACCTGGGACCCTCAGTCTGCAGGCCGACGCTCTAGCCACGGAGCCAAACAGGCCAGGGCCAATTAACTTTATTTTTAACAGTGTACTAAATATACATATATTTTGAAAAGTAATATAGTACTAAAACATTTACAGTAGCAAATGGCAGGTGGTTACACCGCACCCTCCTGCCTCTCTACCTCCCTAGAAGCAGCCATTTTCGACTCTTCCAGGTGTTTCTTCTGTATTCACCTCTGCCTTGCTAAAGAATTTACTTGTAATGCTATTATTTTTTTACTTGTCAAGCTTGGACCTTACCTATTAGGCTTCTCTCCTCTCATAATTCCAGTGAAGTTACTCTAGGGGTAATAGTCAAAACATTTAAGAACTGGCACAGTACAGATACTGATTAATCACAAGTAGTTTTCCCGCATGGTGTATGTGCGCAAATTACTGGCCCTGATTTTAGGACAATTTTTTGTTAAATTATCAGTATTTACACTATCATTACCATGTTGTCCACTATTGAAACAGATAATATACTATGATTACGTTATCTTGCTTACACAATTTTTATTTTCTAGAAGTTATTAATCAATATTTGAAATATATATATATATATATATTCCTCATTAAAAAACTCACCATAAATCCTCTGGAGTTTTGTTCTGTTCTTTCGTTTGGGACACTTTTCTTTGTCTCCTCCTTTTAGCAGCCTCCCTGTGTTTGTTTCTAGGTATTAGGTAGAGCTGCAATGTTTCCCGGGCTTGGTAGAGTGGCCTGGGGTAGAGTAGGTGTCCTGCAGGGTGCAGTGGGACAAGCTTCCTATTCACCCAAGCTGGGCACTCCAAGTGTATCCTTGGGTGTGGGCTGTGTATACTCTCCTGTTGTACTTGAGCGTTGACTGCTATTGGCACATCAATGGGAGAGACATAACCCCACGGCGACTGACTGCAAGGACTGGCTGTGACCAGCGTGGAAGATCAACTGCGCAGGGGCCCACCCCACAGAGCAGTACTTATTTTAGTGGCAGTCTGCTACCCGATGAATCCGCCCCTTGAGTGTGTCGCTTGTGTAGGTGGTTGGGTGGTTCTTTGATGTGGTCTGAAGCTGTCCTCTGGGTGTACTGGCTCCAGGGCCTTCCAGGTGGAGGCCAAGATCAGCCAGCACCTGTGTTCTGCCTGGGGCCACCTGGCGTGAGCTACAAAGTGATCTGCAGATGGCTACTATTTGTGCTAGGTTTGGAGGTGCCCAGGAGAAACCAAGCTTCAAATCAAGGCAGGCTATCACTAGCTGGGCCTGGAGCCACTCAGCAAGAGGTACAGGGCGTGCTGAGGCCGGATGATGCTTGTTTGTGAGATTTTAAGAAAGTCTGAACCATGAGCCAAGATAGGCCATTCATATGGAAAAGCCACTGGAAACAGCTTGGGTAGGCCCAAAACTTGGTGGGGCAGGGGTCTCAGAATCACCAGGGTGGGTGAACAGTGATAGTCAGGTTGATGAAGTCTCAGATATGGCTCCCGCCTGCTGGCTCTGTTGGGGAAGGGCTCAGCAAAGGAACAATGGCCTCTGCCAGCACTTCTGTTTGGGAGAAAGCTGTCCCTCCAGCTCTCACCCTAATGCCAGACACTTCATTTCTTCCCTGTATGTCCCTGGTGCCTTTTGAGCTGCTGACCCAGCACTGAAACTCAGAAGGAGTGAGTCTGAGTAAATCTATGTGTGGGCCCTTTTAGAGGAGCTGCCTGGGACTCCAGAAGCTCTCAGTCTCACTCAGCCATAATCCCCACTATTTTTTACATCCAGGAGTTTTACTGACTTCTCTTCCCAACACTGGAACCCTGGGCTGGAGGGCCTGGTGTGGGGCTAGGACCCCTAGCTCCTCACCTCCCTCCTCAAGAGGGACCTCCACAGCTGAGATATCCCACCAGATTTTTATCTAGTTCCACCCCTCCTACCATTCTTGATGTGGCTTCTCCTTTATACCCTTAGTTGTAGGACTTTCATTCAGCTAGATTTCAGGTGGTTCTGAATGATGGTGGTTCTGTAGTTTAGTTGTATTTTTGATGTGGTTGTAAGAGGATGTAGTACCTCATTTGCCTATGCCAGCTTCTTGACCAGAAGCCCTCCAACTTATTATAGATGTTTTCAGATAAATGTAAGAGTAGAGAGAACAGCATATTGAATTTTGATATACCCACCACCTAGCTTCAACAGTTATCAGTTTGTGGCCAATGGTGTTTCATCTATAATGTTGCCTCACTACCTTACACCCCTTTCCTTATTGGATTAATTTAAAGCAAGCCCCAGATATATTAATTCTATTAATAAATATTTAAATATAAATCTCTAAGAGATATGGACTCTGTTTTTTAACATAAGCCACAATATCACTGTTATACTTTAAACTATAACAATTCCTTAATGTATCTAATGTCCAGTTGGTGCCACATTTCCCTGATTAACTCATAAGTGATTTTTTACAGTTAGTTTGTTTGAATCAGATCTGCACAAAACCTACACATTGTTTTCTAAACTATTTTGACCACACACAGTGTTTCTCTTTCCCACGTACCTTTTCATGAGGTCTTTCTTTCTCAGAGACAGAGGTAAGTAGCAGAGGAACCTGAAGTTTTAAAGTAATTCCTACAAATTGAGTATCTAGGTAGCATCTTTCCAGGAGGAAGGATGCTCAATAGTTAATACCTGAGAAACACTGGGTCTGTGTGGAATGGAAAAAGTGCATTGCCGTAAGGGCTGATCATCCATTCTCCCTAGAAATTCATTAATGTATTCATCTAGTGGCTAAGAACTCTATTTTCTGTTTGTATGATAAGGCCCTATCATAAGTCATGGTCAGGTTTCCTCACTTAAGGTGCATAGTTATGCTGGCTTGAAGATTCTGTCTTCTCCACTGAGCTTAAAAGAATGCGGCACACTGGCCCATGTACACATCCCTCTTCATGGGATAATGAATTGGAAATGGAAGCCACAGCCTTGCTATTTTTTAAATGGGTCATAATTTTGACAGAGTATTTCACATTGAGGAAATATTAAACTTTTCATGTTTGTTTTGCTTCTGTTTTGAACTTGAAGGTCTAGTGATTCTCCGCTGTGCTGTGGCAGATGGGAATTCAACCAGGAGCCCTGAAAATGATGGCCTTCTCTGTGGAAATGCCAGAGAAGACTGTGCAGGTAATGCATAACAAGCCATGCACTTGTATTTCATTAGCTTCATCTTCAATCTTTGAAAGCTGTTTCCCTAAGTTTAATATTTTGATAATGTAGTAATCATAAAACAAGGTAGTTTTTTGAGCACATACTAATATACCAGGTACTATACTAAGTGCTTTACATACAGTAATCCACTCACTCCTCTCAAGAGCCTATGAGCTGGATAATATTAGCTAGCCAAAGGTTACACAGCTGGTAAAGAGCAAATCCAGGATACATACTCAGGTGTTCACTCAGGTCTTTCTGATTCTAGTGCTTTCATTTTTTTTTTAATCTTCATCTGAGGATATATTTATTGATTTTTAGAATAAGAGGAAGGAGGAGAAGAGAGAGAGAGAGAGAGAAAGAGAGAGGGAGAGAGAGAAACATCAATTGGTTGCCTCCTGCACATGCCCCGACTGGGTTGACCTAGCAACCTAGCATGTGCCCTGACCAGAAATCGGACCCGGAACCTTTTGGTGCACAGGAGGATGCTTCAACCAGCTAAGCCACCTGGCCAGGGCTAGTGCTTTCAGTCTTAATCATGACACTACTTTGGTGCCATAGATGTGTGCTCCAGACTCTAGCATATGCTACTTTAGACTAGATTTATAGAAAGGTAGCATATTCTACTCAAATTTTTTCAATTCTACAAATTAAAAGATGGGAAGGGAGCAATAATTTTTACATATTTTACTTTGGAGATGCTTGAATTACTATTCTCCAAATTATTAGTCTAAGGCTGGGGTCAAGTCTGTGAAAGACCAAATAATAAATATCTTGAGCTTTGCAGGCCATGAGTTTCTGTTGCAACTACTCAACTCTGCAGTTTTACTGTAAAAGCAGCCATAGACACTATGCAAGCAAGTGGCCTTGGATGTGTTCCAATAACACTTTATTTAGAGAAACAGGCTGTAGGAAAAATTTGGCCCTTTGGCCATAGTTTGCTGACCGCTGGTCTAAGGTTCTGTCTGTCCTTTATAGATTATGTGGTTTGGTCTTCTGCACAGGCTGTTTCTGATTTAAAACAAAACACAGACTAATCCTGCCAGTGTCTTCAGTGGTTGAGCATAGACCCATGAACCAGGAGGTCACGGTTCAATTACCAGTGAGGATGGCTGGCTCGATCCCCAGTAGGGGGTGTGCAGGAGGCAGCTGGTCAATGATTCTCTCTCATCATTGATGTTTCTATCTCTCTCTCCCTCTCCCTTCCTCTCTCTGAAATCAATAAAGATATATTTTAAAAATTAAATTAAAAATTAAAAATTAAAAAAACCACACAGGCTAATTCCAAATGTAGGGTGGAGTGGAGAAGAGCCTCCTGTATTCCCTGGAAACTTTTCTGTGCTGGGAGTGTGGTGACTTAGTGGTAAATCCTTCCTTCCTAAGGCCCAGGGGAAATTGTAACTGAGCCAGGAACATGCTGAGCAAGTCGTCCTGGTGTGAGTCATCATTTCCAGCCCTATCTTTCTCCTTTCTTCCCTCACACTAGTGGGTGGTCTGGAGTGTGCCCATAGGCTGTGGGATCCACCTGTGTCTTACATCATGCTTGTGTGGGTCTTGTCACCCATGTAGGGAGAAGAACAAGACCAACCTTATGTGTTTGTGTGCTTTTCTTCAGTCAGGTTTCAAATGGTTTAAACGATGACATTTCATATTTCCTTTGGGAGATTATTCCATAATTTGATGCTTCACAGTGTTAAGCAATCTGCCTCTCAATATCCTAAATATGTTTTCTTTTTTTTATTTTATTATAGTAAGAACATTTAACATGGGGTCTACCATTTAACACATTTTTCAAATGTACAATCCAATATTATTAGCTATAGGCATAATGTTATAGGGCAGATCTCTAGAAATTACTCATTTTGTATAACCGAAATTTTATACCCATTGATCAAAAATTCCTCATTTCCCCCTCCTCCCAGCCCCTGGCAACACCATTCTACTCTCTGCTTCTATGGATCTGGTTATTTAGATACCATATATAAGTGGAATCCTGTAATAATTGTCCTGTGACTGACTTATTTCACTTAGCACGCTGTTCTCCAGGTTTACCCATATGATTGCATACAGAGGGATTTCCTTTTATTGAAATACTGAATAATATCCCATTTTATGTATGTAACATATTTTTTTTATCTATTCATCTGTTGATGGATATTTAGGTTGTTTTCACATCTTGGCCTTGGTGAATAATGCTGCAATAAATATGGGAACACAAATATCACTTTGATATACTGTTATATGTTTGATGCATTTATATTTTTTTGAGGAAACTACATACTATTTTCCATAGCAGTTATCGATTGCCTTTTCAGTCTGTTAATTCTTTCTTTACTATGGAGAAGATTTTTTTAGTTTGCTTAAGGCCACACAGTAAGCAGAGTAGCCTGTGTAGGGGTCAAAAAGTTAATTTCCCTCTCACCTTTCTAGGTTCTTCTGTCTGAGCTAATAACCAAATTTACAAGAGACATATTAACAGGAGAAAATAACCAGATTTAATATTTACGTACATGTGCAAGTGCCATAGGAATATGAGACTGGATGGCAGTTGAGGCCTATATGTCATCCTGGGGCTAAGGGAAAGAAAAATGTTGAGATTTGGGACTTTAAAGGGTAAGAAGGCAAGTCACATGGATACGGAAAAGCAAATGTTTGGTAAACAAATGCTTGCTAGGCCAACTTTCACAATGGAACACAGAGAGGACTTTGATCAAGCAGGCCTTGGTAGGTTCCTCCCTGTCTATCACACACTAATTCATATTAAACTATAGTTATCTGTGATGACCTATATCTCCCTTCCTGGAGCTTGTCCTCTATCTAAATCCCTTTTAGGCAATAAAGGGGTGAGTAAAAAGTTCTTTCTGGGACTTTTTTCCCTTAATTACTAGCTTAAAATTAATATTCCAAGAGGCATATTTTGGGAGTGGCAAAAGTTTGGTCCACTTGTGTACAAGTAACATGAATTCAGAAAGGCTGGCTCTAGAATGTGTTGTTAATCACCATGCTAATGCTAAAATCATGTGTGAAGATCAGGATGCTGATATATGAATGAGGGAAATTTTGAAAAATAATTGCTTGAAAGTAAAGTCCAAATCAGGACCAAAGTTTCTTGGGAAAGGAATTAATGTGGAACAGGAGAAGATTGTCTCCATTGACTGACCATGTGACTGAGGAGAAATCACTTAAGCTATCAAGGATTCACTTTTCAACCTGTAAAATGAAGAAGTGAATCAGATGATCTTTAGGAGTTGTTCCTATTTCTAAATGATATCATGATTTTATCTTCAAATAGACCCAAGTTTAAGCATTCCATTTTTAGTTAGTCACTTTCTATTTTGAATGAGGAATTTATGCATTCTACCAATACTTATGAGCGTCTATTATGCAGCAGGCTCTGTTCCAGGTACCAAGACTGCAGCAATGAACAAAATGGTCAAAGATGACATCGAGGAGGTTATGGAGACAGAGAGGTAATGGGTAGTGTAGTGTAGAGCCTTGGCAAGGAGGTTAAAACCTTCAACTTTCACTCTGAGTGAACTTTAATATCATCCATCTGGTTTCTATGTATGCAGACTAGACAGTTAAAGGGGCAACAGCAAGGAGATGATTTAGATGTTGTTGCCATGGAGACTACTTCCAGCCTAGAGAGAATGTTGGTCCAGGGTAGTGGAGATGAAGGGACAATTCTGCATATTTTGAATACAACCAATTGAATTTTCTAATGAAATAGGTGTAGATCAAAAGATAAAGAAGTCAAGATGACCCCAAGATTTTTGGCCTGAATTAAAAGAAAGAATGTAGATACCTGCTGAGATAAGCAAAGACTTGATTTGAGGGGAAATCGGGTGTTCCATTTTGGAAGTGTTATGTTGAAATGCCAGTTAGACATCCAAGTGGAGATATTAGTTTGACCATTGGCACTGAGGAAAGAGATCTGGAGTGGAAACATAAATTTGGGAATTGTTACCATAAAGGTGTTTTAAGCCAAGAAATATTGATGGAAGAAATAGAGGAGAAGAGGTAAGAAAGCATTGAGCCCCAATGCATTGCAAAATTTAGAGTTTGGGGAGATGAGAAAGAACCAGCAAAGGAGAAATGAGCAAAGGAGGCATCATAGGCATAAGAATTCCATAGTCTACACTCTTGAAAAACCAAAAGAAGTACAAGTTTTCCTGCTTCCCATTGTTCTTTTCATTTGCCTCCCAGCTGTGAATAATTTTTTATATATGCAAATACACTCACACTTCAACACTACATTTTTTTTTTCTTCCTTGAAAGGTATAGAATAAAAAAGGGCATCTCTAAGTGACACCCACTCCTGTCAGGTCCGAATGGTTGGCAAAGACATACTGATCTATGATTAGACCCTGTACAAGCATATTCTGGTAGCACAGGAGGGGTGACAAGTACATCTGTGAGATCTATTTTCTATTCTTCTTGTCCTGGAGTAACCAACCTTTTCACATTTCTTTAGGAAATGGCATTGGATGTAAGAGGTGGGATTCCTCAATTACAACAAATGTCAAACTTTGTACTTCAAGGGCATCATGAATTTACATTCCCTTTCTCATGGAGACTGTTTGCGAGATAGAAGGAAAAATAACTTTAAAAATACAAAACTTTCTTCCTCACCTTTTGGCTTAAGAAAGCTGTAATATAAAGAAACCCCTACTGGGAAGATGCCTGGAAACCAAGGACAATCAAAGCCTTGGGCTCTACATCACAGACTAAGAAACTGTTCTCCAAACTCTGCTGGGGCCACTTAAACTCTTCTGTGCACTGGGTGTTGCCTATTTTAAGTCAGGTATCTGTGTGGGAAGGTGAACCTACAGGTATTTGTTTCCCTTCCTCTCTCTCCTGTAAACACTTGTGGGACATCTCTCTCCACATTGAGCACCTCCTTTTAAACCTCTTACACACAGATTTAACTATGTCTCTGACTAGGGCTCAGATATACAGCGAAGCCATGAACATTGTAATGACAATTACAACACAGCACTGGGATAATCATAGTACATCACCCTTAGAGTTGTTTTCAGGGGAGCTGCTGAAATCATAGCCAAATCATTACATAGATTTGTACTAAGCACTATTGGAATAAGCAAGTGAAGTCTTTATGAAAATTAGACCTAATGTTTCAAATCTGAGGAGTTTTCATCACAAAGCCTGTTTTGCTTTAGAATAAGATGAGAGTCATGAACAGAAAGCCCAGGGAACAATGCTGCTTAATCAAAGCATCTGTCAAATTGAGGCAAAACCCGCATTTACACACAGTGATTTGGGAGTCTGCTGCATCCCTACACTTGAGTTTGGCTCAGGAGAAACCATCGCCTCTCATCGAACACCCATATCACCCAAGGAAGATCCACTTCTTGTCCCTCTGCCCATGTGATCGAAGAAAGATGTTCTTACTTCCCATCCCTTTTGCTAACTCCTAGGATCAGATTTTGACACACACTGACCCGCAGTAGCCCTTGTGGTTCCTTACTTAATTCACATGAGAATCTTAGGGACATGGTGGTGTCATGAAGAGACTGAGATATATCGCCTGCAGTGCCACCCACAGTGAGCAGGAGTGGCAACCTGGCCCAGCAGTGGGTGTGGTTTCCCAGGGCAATTCTGTGGGACAGACTCACTCCCAGAGGAATGTTTTGGTTTTGGGGCATGTGGGTTAGAAAGAGGTGGGAAGACAGAAGATCAATTAATTCCCAGGATCAAGGGAGTCGTTTAGGCCTGTGACATTTTCAAAACCATGCCCTTCCATTCTCAACAGAGAAACCCAATGCACGGGCTAATCTTACTTTTGCCATAGGATTTACTTTCCTTCTCCGTGGGACACATGCCTGGAGTGGAACGGGAGATTTTTGGCCACTCCCCACCCTACGTCATCAGGTCTCATGATAGGCGGAAAACGTTACATTTCACAATTGTTCACCTTTCAAATAGCCCGGACCTTCATGAACTTTAGATGAAAGCTTCTGGAATTCTAGATGCATTTTCAAAGGGTCATGATGCTGATAAGCCTTTAATTTCCAGGAGAGAGGAAGAGAGGATCTCTGTTATGTGAGTTATTTTTCTTCCAGGTTTTAAAGTTCCATAGAGAAATCACAGGATTTTTTCTGCCTAATGGTATGGAAGAATTTTTAAATCTAAATTATGCTGTGAATATTTAAGAGTATGCTTATTTGGCAAAGAAGAGAGCTCTGCCAGGGATCCAAACAGGGCCTGGCAGTCATTTCCCTGGCACAGGTGCATGTTGCTGGGTGAACCACGGCTGATCCAATCACCGTGTCCAACAGCTGCTGTTAAGGCTGTTTGGGGGATCCTGGGCTGTGTGGTTTTTATGAGAATGCTGGCTCTGTTTAAAGGGACACAACAGTGAAAGGAATTAGTCAAGGTCAGGACACAGAGCCATACAGCTTGTATTGAAAGTCAGGTGTGCTTTGCAAAGCAGAAAAGACCTTGCTGGAGCACAGTGGATCTGTCACTAAGTGTTATTGCTTCTTAAATTCTTCTCCTTGCCCTCCACTCCCCTGCCTCGGGCTCACATCACATATGCCTGCGTGGCTCAGGGGTGCCTTGGTTTTCTCCTAGCCCTGGCATCCTCCTGCTCTGGCCCAGTCTGCACTCTCCTGTCTAATATATTATAAAATGCTTCCCATTTTGTCTTTACATGTATCATTGAATTTAATTTATAAGAACCTTTCTCAGCTCTCTCCTGCCTTAAATTTCAGTGTAAGTATTTGAGCCTACTGACCATTTGAGGTGTTTAACTTCTATTCACAGCATCCTTGGCTGTTCCCTTCATGTCCCTTCCATTGTTGTCATTAAATCTGCACCCTGCAGCCCAGCCAGCGTAGCTCAGGGGTTGAGCATCAACCTCTGATCCAGGAGATCATGGTTCGGTTCCCAGCCAGGGCATATGCCCAGGGTTTGGGCTGGATCCCCAGCAGGGGCCGTGCAGGAGGCAGCTGATCAATGACTCTCTCATCATTGATGTTTCTATCTCCCTCTCCGTTCCATTCTCTGAAATCAATAAAAACATATTTTAAAAAATAAAAATAAAAAATAATTCTGCCCCCTTCATAAGGCTGGTATATTCCTGACTCTGAGCTTTTGATCTTGACATTCTCTGTACCTCAGTTGCTTACTCACCTCCTCTTAAATTAAAAAAACCCCAAAATACTGCATGTCTACATGTCCCAGAAGTTTTCCCCTAATTAAATAAGAGCCTTTGTACTCATACAAGATTTTTCTTAGAATTGCCAAGATTTTCAAGATTCTAGCATCAACTTATTTAGCGAGGACTTTATTGCTCAGGCACTCTGCTGGGAATTTTCATATCTTTTTTTTTTTTTTTTGAGCCTCTCAAAAGCTCTTTTAGGTACACGTTTTTAGTTTGCAGATGAGGAAACTGAGGCTCAGGCAGCTTAATTCACTTTACCAGACCCAGTTAGCTAATGAAAGGCAGAGCTGAAAATGAAGCACTAATTTCCTTCCTCCCAATCCAGTGTTCTTTCCACTGTCTCCAGTGGGCCACAGCTGTTCATGCAGTTACTATGGTTGTTTTTGCTTGTTGGTTGCTCATTAGTGTCTTGAATTTGTTCTATTGTACCAATTTAGAGAGAGATATAGGATATCTTTTATTTCTTTGATGTTTTCCAGTGCCTACTATAGGACTCTGAATATAGAAAGTACTTGACAAATGAAAGTTGACTGATCAATTTATTTGCCAAAATACACAGATCTTTGCATTTGAGGCAATTTGCACTTATTTCTGGCAGAAAGTTCCATAAGAGTCCCATTGACTGGCATGTGTGGCAGAAATATCTGGCAGGGACCAGCAGTGGGCATGGTGGTAATTAAGTCATCAGCCAAAACCAGGTCAGCCAGTTCCTCAGCAACATCCTGCCACCCCCTAAACTGTGACCTGGCATGGCAGGCATTTGCTGTGTGTGGATCATCCAGGGCTCTGTGACTCCTCTCTCCGGTGGCCTTGAGCAATTATACGTACTCATTACCTAATATGAAGGAAGAAGCTTAGCAGTCCTTGCCCTTAATCAAAGGATTGTTTGATGTGATTGGGTGCCAGGTGCCACACCAACCTAGAGTGAAATGCCCTCCTGAAGCGAACACTGTGGCTTTCCTGGCTCCACAGGTGCCTGCGGCCTGCTGGCTGCTGGTCAGACCATGACTATGGAAAGTCCTACCCTGGGCTGCTCCTGGCTCGTTAGCTGTTTTTTTCTGGGTGTGAGCACGTCTGTTGTGAATCAACACAGAGAGTTAGTATTTCTGTACTATTCCTCTGGACAATCTTTACTTATTGAAACTTCCTATAATGAGCAAACGGTTATATGTTACTGTCCCCAGTCGAAACAGTAGGCAGTCACTACCCTGAAAGGTAGGACAAGATGGTCAGTGCCCTGCAGGATTGAAACCCTGGGCATGAAGCTTTCAGAATGTTCCTCCTTCAGGGCGTGAGAATCCGCCCGGGGGTTGAATGCGAGGGACAATCTCCCATTCAGGAAGCGTGACTTCTGGGGGCCTCAGTCAGACAGCAGAGGACAGCTCCCGGTGGACAGCGGGCTTGACGGTGCCAGAGTGGAATGGTCGAGAGCACCGGCTGTGGGTGCGATGGCCTGCGTTTGCATCCTGCCCGCCTCACACTTGCCCTGTGATTCTGGAAGGTGCCTTTGCCTCCATGTGCTGTGCTTTGTTCATCCNTCCGACACTGGGCTGGTATGGCTAGTTAGCTGTTTTCTCTGGGTGTGGGCTCTTGTCTCATGTATGGTGTGAACCAACACAAGGAACAGCTGGTTAGTATTTCTGTGCTGTTACTCTAGACAATCTTTATTTATTGAAACTTTCTATGGTGAGGAAATTGTTACATATTGCCGTCCCCAGTTGAAAAATTAGACAATCAAGGCTCTAAAAGATAAGACAAGATGGTCAGAGCAGGGTTGAAATCTTCCAGTATTTTCCTCTGACTTCAGAACAAGAGAAACCCTCCAGGGGTCGAATGAAAGGGAGAATCTTTCATTCAGGGAAGCATGACTTCTGGGTGCCTCAGGTGGAGAGTAGATGCCAGCTACCTGCAAATAGCTGGCTTGACAAAGTGCCAGAGTGGAGTGGCCAAGAGCAAAGACTGTGGGGCAGGATGGCCTGTGTTTGCCTTCCTTGCCTTCCACATACTAGCTGAGTAATTCTAGAAGGTGACTTAACCTCTCATTAACAAAGAGATTTGCTCATTAATAAGTAGGAGATTCGAATGGTGCCTACCTTACAGGGCTATTATGAGAATTAAATGAGTTAATATAAACAAAGTATACAGACTAGCATCTAGTTCTCAGTAAGTACTATATAAGTGTTTAAATTAAAACAATTTTTAAAAGAAAACAAAAGGAAAGAAAAATGTACTTTTCCCTTCAATGCCATCAGCCCCATGGCTCTAATAATCTTCATAGAAAGAATGACCTTGTCTCTCAGCTCAACTGTGCTCTATCCTTAAACAACACCAATGTTTCTGAGAGGTAGATTGGACGTAAATCTAATTAAAATATGAAATTCTCCAACCACAGTCCCAATTACCCAATCTCTAGAGCTATTTTGGAGCCACAAAACTGTGACTTTTATCCTTGTGTAGAGAAGAAATGAGAGATGGGAATATATTCTACAGAAGACCTGGCAGCAAAGATAAGAATAGAATACTACTTACAAAAAAGGTGAGTTGATTTATTGAACTTCTTCTTATTTTTTAGCTACCACCACCCAATCAGAGTGGAATGACTACTTCTCTCCATGCCCCAAGAAATACGAGCATTACTGCATCAATGGGAAATGTCGCTTCGTGGGGGCCCTGCAGACACCCTCCTGCCTGTAAGTGGAGCTCCCTGAGGGGGTGCAGGCAAAGGGGTGCAGGATGGAGCTGGCCGGGGCTCAGCAGGACTGGAAAGTGTGAGCTAACCAGGCCTCTGTGAGGACACAGTGCCCCTGGTCCTGGCCCAGCCGCTTGTTCAGGGGCCCCTTCCACAGCTGCTGACGGAGAGACTGACGCACATCGGAGGGGCCAGACTTGCTCGCAGGCAGGGCCCGTGCTCTGCGGCCTTAGCCAAGCAAGGCTGTTCTGTCCAGCGTGAAGAATACTTTCTTTCTCTTTCTGCTTAGAATTTTATTATTATTATTATTTCCATTACAGTTTACATTCAATATTATTTTGTATTAGTTTCAGGTATACAGCATAGTGGTTAGATAATCATGTACTTTAAAGTGTTCTTCCAATATCAAGTACCTACCTGGCACCATACATAGTTATGACAATATTATTGACTATATTTCCTATCCTGAACTTTACATCCCCATGATTATTTTGTGACCACCAATCTGTACTTCTGAATGCCTTCATCTTCCCCCTGGCAACGATCAGTCTCTTCTGTGTTGTTTCATCATTTGTATTACTCTTTAGATTCGGCAAACAAGTGAAATTATATGGTATTTGTCTTCCTCTGACTTATTTCACTTAACATAATGCCCTTGAGGTCCATACACGCTGTCACAAATGGTAAGATTTCATTCTTGTTTATGGCCAAGTAATAGTCCATTGCTTTTTTCCTCACTGGTCTGTTGACAGGCATTGGGTTGCTCCTGTGGCCCCACGGGGTAATGATGAGCACCACTGACCTTGAGTCGGGCTGTCTCTGTGGGATTTGCTTGCATTTGGGTGATGTCCTTCCTTGTGCTTCTTGTAAATCTTTACCCTTAACCTCCTTGTTTCTGTGGTGCAGTGGCTATGACATTAGCCTCACACAAGGGGGCTTTTAGAAGCTCAATTCATCTCCGATGTGTTTTGAATGCAAACAAATTTTTCTAGCATTTGTTATACAGTTTGTAATTCATTTAAATATAAAGGAATTTCTGCCAAATCAAAAGTTACTTTTGCAGGTGTCAATTAAGTGCAAGGAAAGCAGTCTTATTTATAAATAAAGATTTTCAAAGTTTGTTTAGCAGGGCAGGGAATTGGGAGAAAAGTTTTCAACTGTTAGTACATTAAGAGTCCAAGTTTAATTTTACTCAGGCACAAGTAACATTTTTGTATAATTTAAACATTCATTTTCTACTAAAGAGATGTCTCTCTAAAATGCTCTGAGAGCTTGCCTCATAGAAGAACAAGGTGATTTTTTAGGTGTAAAAATTTCATAGAATACTTATATTCTGTGCATTTCCCCAGCATACACTTTTGTGTGTTTTTTTAAATAAATATCTCAAACAGTAATTCCAATCCCTAATTTAGTGGAATTTTGAGTTGTGGACTTCTTCAAAGTTTAATTATATTCAAATTTAATCTTAAAAATAAATATATAAAGATAATATTTAGAGGGAAATAAGAATTGTTAATGTAAGGAAATAAGAAAAATGTGCCTTTGTCTCTGTATTGAGAAAGATAGAGCTGATTTTTTAAAAATTCCATTTAATTGTTCACTGGTTTGGGAGAATATATTGAGTTTTTAAAATATTAATGCCCACTAATGCACTACATTTTTCTAACTGATCTCTGTGTCTGTACATTTATTGCTCTTTAATATTGCTGCCTTCTAAAATGAAAACTACAGTGTATAATCTACTCCCTAAGACTAATCAGCATGCAGTTTGTCCCCTTATGTCTGAGGTGAAAACTCATTTCCTTGGCCTCCAAAGCTCCTCTGATCCTGGTTTAACTTCTAACCACATCTCCATTATAGAGTCAAATGTTCCTCTGAAATTCTACATTCCTTTGTGTGGTGTATCACACAAGCTCTTCTCATACACTGCAAAGCTCATTCCCACTGGTGTTTTACATGCAGCTCAAACATCAGCCCTTCCTGGACCCCTGCACTGACTTCCCTCCTCTCAGACATTCAGGTGTGAGCTGCATGCCCTGTCTCTGGGATCTAGAAAGCTCACATCTATGAAAACTCTTTTCCCCTGGAGCATTTGGTTTCTTTAAATGTCCCTTCTGTGACTGTGAGCACCTAGAGGGCAAGGCTCAGGGCTTATTCCTTTTTGTGTTCCAGTGCCAAGCACCATGCCTAGAATTTACTAGATGCTCAAGGAATGGCTGGTGAATAAGCGGCTGAGTCCCTCCCTCATGGTCCATTAAATGCTACGCTAAGTGTCAAAACCAAGGCCTTCATCTGAACCAGGAACACTTTCTTAGAGGTGGAATAATACAGAATCATTGGGAGGTAGGGAAACATAGGGGCAGGACACAGATTTTGAATCAGATAGACCTAAGTTAAGATTTTGTTTCTACCAATAATTAACAAATTTAACAATGGGTCAGTTACCTTTCCTGAGCCTCAGTTTTATCATCTGTAAAACTGGATAACAGTATCTTCCTCTGAAGTGTTAAGAACTAAGCAAAATAAATATTAATTAAAAATATTTATCATGGTACTGAGCACAGAGTAAATGTTCCATAAATTGTACCATGAGATGAGTGGGAGATAATGAATCTAAGCCTGACCTTTTGGTGACTTTGTGTAGCACAGATTCAGGCAAAACTCTCCTGCCCGTTTCTCTGAGAATCTGAAATAGCTCCTTTTGCTTGGGATCACAGGAGTCTGTGGATTCCTGTTTTTACATAAATACCAGTGTGTGTTTCAGATAACTCCAATCCTCTATTAGCCTCTTCTGTATTTTCTTGGAATGGGGATGATTTGTTTCCAGATACACAGTTTTGATTTATTTATGCAGCACGCTTCACTTAAGTGGTGTTACATATGCTTGGTGCATCAACCTGGAAGCCAACTTTCTGCATTTGAGTCTCAGTCCCACCCATTCAATTTCTCTATAGCTCAGTTCCTCCATTTGTAAAATGGGCTAATAATAGCAAGTACAAAAAGGTTGTTCTAGGATTCAGTTGAGTTAATACTTTTAAATCTCTTAGAACTGTGCCTGGTGATTATTCTAGAAATGATCCCAAATCTGATTTTGCAGCATCCTCAAAGGTCATGGGCATCTTTAAAAATTATTTTAAATTTTATTTGATAAGATGCTTATTAAATCTCATTTGTTTAGTTATCCAGCATTTAATAAACATCTACTAGGATCTTGCACACTTGGCCTCACCTATTTCATATTTACCTATTAAAATCAGCATGTGGGTGATGATTGGTTTGATGAGAAGCGAAATAACATGGGAGCCTCCAGAACTGGTGAAGGTTTCACCATCTAGCATGGCTCATTGGGTTACAACTTGCAGGGAGTCCTGCTCACTGAGAAACTCAACTAAAGTGTGATTACACCAAGGAACCCAGAGCTTATAATTAGAAAAGCCTTCTAAAAGAGCATCAAGTAATTGCTGTGTATTTTATGGGCAAAGTTATTTTTTTAAATGCCACATTAAGTGAATTTATTAGAGAAACATTTAAGCTAATTGGAAGAGACTATCTTTGTAAGATTTTAATTATGATCTTAAAAAAAGACTCTTTTAAAAACCTTCATCCCATATATGCAATTAAAAGTAATTTGTTTTCCTTGTTCCAGGCCCATCTGCAAGAGATTTTTGATGTTTCAAGATATTTCTAAGCTTTCTTTCCATTACTTTAACCTTGCAATGGTAATACGTAGCTCTCTTGCAAGAAGCAGTTTTCTCTCCTAGGTCCTGGGGTCCTTCTGCAGTAGGTGGCATTAGGTGTCTTTCCCGTGTGTCTACATCAAGCCTCACCTTTCAACTCATGGTTGCGACTGAGTTTGTTTTGTTTTTTGTTTTTTAATCCTCTCCCAAGGACATGCTCAGAGAGAGGAATGGGGGGGGGGGGTGAGAAATATCAATTGGTTGCCTTTTGTAAGCGCCCCAATCAGGGATCGAACCCGCACCCCAGGAATGAACCCTGGCCAGGGATGGAAGTGGCAGCCTTTTGGTGAACAGGACGACAGCCAACTGAGCCACTCTGGCCGGGCTTGTTTATTGTTTGGTTTGGTTTAATTTGTGTAGCATTGTATCAGCTGCAATATTGGCATTAAGAAATCTCCTTACTTGTAAAATATAAGCTTTGTGGGAATTAACTGTCTTGGTTCTTGTCAAACATAAACTATAGAACAGCTTGGCAATTGATCTTTTCTTACAAAACAAAAATTAAATCACACAAAGCAGAATGAAACAAAAAGAGGTTGTACAGCAGTCTTTTCAAGAAGCATAATTTCCTCTATTTCATATTTATACAATTATGACCAATATTTTTTGCATTTTGAATGAGTATGAGGAGAAAAAAGGAAAGTATTTGTAACTGATGTTACAACATGTAATTTCAGTTTTAAATGTCCTCAGCCTTCTTACATGCCCTTTCAGCATATGACACACTTCAGGGAATACTACGGATGGTCCCCAGGTCACTGAGCCTTGGGCTCCTTGAGCGTCGCTCGGACAATGGGCCCTTAACTGTAACCTCAGACTTAGGCATCGGCCGAATTGCAGCGAACCCCAAGACTGCGCTGATAGGGAAGGGCATTGAAATGAATCGTGTTGAATAGTATTTATACAGCTTTCACGCGCAGGTAGATGCCTGTGCACGGCCATGCGCATTACCATGCCTGAGCATATAAAACAGCACCATTTTAGATAAATTCCATGAGGAGAGCTTGGGCACACTGCAACTGTTCACATGGCCCTGCGATGAAAGGGGACACCCTGGGGCTTTGAATTCCTTGTCATGTATTAGGTGCTTGGGGATGTTGTGGAGGGAATGTTTTCTCTGTTCAAATTCAGAATCTAAAATTTCAAACTAAAGTTGAGTAAATTGTCAACACCCCTACTTATATTATACATATTGTTCAAGTGATGACAGATTTTTCAGCAAAGCAAATGAAGAGAAATTAATCACAAACACAGTTGTGTACAGCTATTTAACAATTTTTAAGGGAATTGTGTCCTTCATTAATTCCAAGGAACAAAAATAGTGTTATTTTTTTCATAAAAGAAACAGAGATTCCTAACAGCCTCTCATTCCTCACCTTGTTGTGTTGTTGTTTTATTTTTATAGCTGTGATGATGGCTACACTGGGGCGAGATGTGAGAGAGTTGACTTTTTTTACCTGAGAGGAGACACAGGACAGATTTTGGTGATTTCCTTGACAGCAGTTTTGGTGACATTGATCATTTTGGTGGTTGGCGTCTGCACATGCTGTCAGTAAGTATTTTTAATTTAATTCTAAGTAAATCTGAGGAACTGACTCTTGCTGACTCTTTCTTTCCTTCCTTCCCTCCTCAACTTTTTTCTTTTTTGCCTTGATTTAAATAAATCACTTTTCCAGGTTTGCCATCCTTTATTTAAAGCATTTGTAATAAAACACATGGTATATATTTGTCATTTTACTGAGCACAACTATTATAATTTAAAATCAAATTTGTATAAATCTCCTTAATTTAAAGAAAACAATTATTTAGTCCTAAAATTAGTCATATTTTATGTGTTTGTTAGTAAGCTAAATAAGGCTTTTCTTTTCTCAAACTGCGCCATGACAAACTAACTTTGAAAAATAGAAACAAATGAAAAAAAGATTTTTTTCTTGGCTACATCAAAATAATGAGTTTAAGTTACACCAGATAATTACTCTCTTGTTCTTCTCTTTTACTTTTTATTATAAACCACAATTTTGGGACTGAAGAAACACTTTGTTTTTCGTCTGAGAGAGAGTGGGTTGGTGTAGAACTTAAGGTGTTCCTTTGGGCCCCTCGAATTGTCTGTTAGACGAGAACGCGCCCTCGCCAGCTTGGCCCAGCGCTCAGAGCGTCGGCCCGCAGGCTGAAGGGCCCGGGTTCGACTCAGGCCAAGGGCACGCACCCGGCTGCGGGCTCACCCCCAGGCCTGGCCCGGGCACCTCCTAGAGCCCTCCGGGAGTGCCCTGGAAGGTCCTCAGGGGCTCCCTCCCTGTGCCAGAAGCTGCCGCAGCCCCCAGCTGCCGCAATGGCCTCTGCTCTGCCGTCTAGGCCAGAAGAGGGCTTCTCATGAGTCCTTTCTTCACAACCTCCAGGGATAAAAACACAAGCAGAGCTCCTGGGAGGCTTTGGGTTTTGTCCCAGTTCTGCCACTGAGTATCTTTGAGACCTTGGAGAAATTTCTTAAGATCTTAATCCTCTAAATTTATTTTCTATAAAATTCCTTCTGTAAAATTCCTTCTAGCTATAAAATTGAAAGTTATTATTTTTATTTTACCTACTATATGGCAAAAAGGAGTTTTTATAATGTCAGGTTGGGGACAGAGCATCTGTTGGACAGAGCTGGGAAATGGCCTATTTTATTAATTAATTCTGTTATACTTTAAGAAAATGGGAATACAGGCCAGCTTTCTAATGTATCTGGCAGCTTAATTAACATACCCAGAAGCGCTCTGGTTTTCTTATGTCTGTTTCCAGTGTTCACTATATCTAGTTTACACACTAATAATGCTGTTCCAGTCTATTTTGTAAAATGACTTGTCCTGGAAAATGTTCTTGTGTTAACCAAGCTCCATCACCACTCAGGTGCCATATTCTTTCTATTTAGATACAGCTGTACTCGAGCCTAGGGAAAGAGATGGCTTAAGAGAAAACCTCAGATATTTAAGAAAAAGGAACCTATTCACTCTTAACAGTCTAGAAATAAAATCATAGGCTGCTCTCTTGATGATTAATCTTGTCTTCGCATGAACTAACAGGCCCATGCTAATTTCTAACACCATTTTCCAAGTCCTCTTCGAAGGAAAAGGAAAGAAGATACGGCAAATGTTGGTAAAGATATAACTCCTGTAAATGAAGATATTCAAGAGACTAGTATTGTTTGACGGTAAGTGTGATAAACTTGGTAGATGGGAAACTATGCAGGTGACATTTCACTGGGGAAATGGAGTTTAATTGCATCTAGCAAATCATTCATTAGAGTCTGATTATGTTTTAAAACATCTAAAAATAAACAGACTTTTTTCATAGGCTCCGAAGTCAAGTAAAAAATGTCCTCATACCTTTCTTTGGCATGTTATCACAGAGATACATGCATGTGCAAGAGACGACTTTTACATACTTTTTCTTTTTCATTATTGTTTTAAATTTTAAACCCTCACCCAAGGATATGTTTTTATCGATTTGAGAGAGAGAGGGGAATCGAGAGGGAGAGAGAGAGAGATGTTGATTAGCTGCCTCCTGTATGCACCCCAGGGGATCGAATCTACAACCCGGGTATGTGCCCTGACGGGAATCGAACTGTGTCCCCTTGATGTCCTGGACTTTGCTCAGCCAACTGAGCCACACCGGCCAGGGCTATACTTTTTCTAATGTACCCAGATCAATTGGTTTTCTAACTTTGCATGGTTATGTAGTTATTTTATATTTTTTCTTCCTCGTGTTTGAACACCAAAGCCAAGAAGAACCAGGAAGGCGAGTGAGCCCTTGTGAGGCAATCTGTAGAGCCAGCCCCCTGGAGGGCACAACAGGGCAGAGAAGGGCTCCAAGGGGCACACAACATAGCCAGCACAGCCGGGGCGGTTTGGCTGTAACAGCATCAAACACACCAAACTGGCTTAAAACAAGGGGGTGCTTAGAGCACATGAACTGGTAATCCAGAGGTTAGATCGGTGGCTCCACGCGGGGAAACGCGATTTCTCTCTCTCTGCTCACCGTCTGAAGAGGTGGCTTCACCCTTGGCTGGCTCCTCCTAGGCCAGCAGCAGTCGGGCCACATGCTTCCTCCTTCACCTTCAGCAAGAGAGGCAGTGACTTTCCATAGCTCTCCCCGCATTACAAAGAACCTCCTTTCCCAGAAGCTCCCAGAAGATTAATGGGGTATAGTAAACGCTTCTCAAGAAATTATAGTGTTCTTCTAACCGGTATAACACTAATGAATTGAAAACAAAAATGCTAGCTCTAGATTTTTTTTTTTTTTTTTTTTTGAATACATAGCACGTTTCTTTTAAACAGCTTACTCTTTTTTTCTCTGCCTTCTTCCTACAGGCTATGAAGGTACCTCCAGGCTGGCGGCAAGCTACAAAATGCCTTGCTCAGTTGAAAATGGACAGAATGTGTCTCAGGAAAACAGCTAACAAAATGAATTTTAAATAATGTATTTACCTTTGTTTATAACTGTTTGTGTTGTTTACTATTGTTTTTATAATAATAATAAATTTTATTATTGCTTAGTAATTCAGAAAAAAGCAACCAGTTAAGAAGGGAAATATTAATAAACTTCCACTTAGGTTTTGTCACCAGGATTACTGGTTAAATGAAAAAGAAAAGTAGGATGGACTTTAGATCCTAGAAATTGCAATAATAATCCATCTACCATTTATCCAACACTTACCATATGCTGGGAATTTGAAATATATTATTTCCTTTAATCCTTGCAAGAACCTCTGAGATATCTATTATCCTTATTTCCCATATATGGAAACAGGCCCAAAGAAGTTAAATAATCTAACCCAGATTTTCAGAGTTAGGAATTGGTGGCGCTGAAACTGGAACCAAGATTTACCTAATTCAACGTATGTGTTCTCAACCATCATTTCTGTTCATCAAAGTTGGTACAACCTAACTCACTAATATAACCCAAAACTTTCTACTGAACTATGTTTTGCCCTGACTCTGAGATACTGGGGCCATTTTCCTCCAGAAACTCAGAATGCAGAGTCCTGAATGTATGTTACTGTTCCCTCCATGTCTCCTGTGGCACTGACTTTCATTATGTTCCTTTGCAACTTTATAAATGCTCAGAGACATGAATAAATTCTTGCTTTAGTAAAGTAAACGGATTCGCGCCCTAGGCAGGGTAGTGAATAGAGCTATGGGAAGGAGATGCCCGGCAGTCCTTAAACCCCAGGGAAGTGTCTCTGCTCCCTAAGGAATCAGCAGCCGCACTGGCAGATGCCGTTGATCCCAGGGTAACGGTCGTGACAGAAGAGCAGAGCCCAGGCAGAGGCTGGTTGGGACAGAGCCCCGTTTCTGACCTTCTGATAAGCAGTACCTGTGATTGCTCTCAGGTGAAGTGTTGCAATGAAGTCCCATATATGCATCTATTACTTGAGACCATCTTTCCAAATGCTCCTTTAACTCCTTAGTATGTTTAATAAGGACTCTCTAAAACCTGCAAAAGCAAAATCTACATTTAGCCGATATTCCATCGAATATGGAACTTTCTACATTGACAGGCTAGATCGTTTACAAAAACAGATGGAGGATGTCCCCAAATTGCTGCACTTTGGCTGCCGCACCTACCAGCTAAGCAGCTTCTTTTCCAGAATCTTTGTAAACTTACAATGTAGACTCGGAACGCGCAGTGAAATGGAGACTTCAAACAAAAGGCGAAGCTGTCCACCACCTTCTATTACACACCGCGTTTCAAGAGAGACGGACACTTGCGCTTCTGCGTAACACACACCCAGCTCCAGTGTCAAGGAGAGCTAAGTCTAACAACTGATAATTTTCTAAATCTATTTTACTCCTGACTTAATAGACATTCTTACAACAGGATTATATACAATTGATTCATGTTGTATATGTTTTATTTTCAAGTCTCCTTCTGGACTTGTTTCATGCCCTTTCTCTTTCTCAGTCTTCTTTGATACTATGAATGCTAGAAACAAATGCTTGTTTGAGTATTTAAAAAAAAATAAAACAAGATGTAAATGTTTCTTCTTTCCTGAACTGATGTTGGTTGACCAATGGACTCTCTCAAGACAATTCAGACTGAGGAATTTTGTTTTGATCCTAATATGTTAATGGTGTCTTTCAAAAATTGGTAGGTCTGATGTCAAGAAAGGACTCTGAGGATTTTTATATCTTTTCAAAATGTATTTATAATTGTTTTGCATATATTAAATGACCTTGGATATATAAACTGTCAATATTATCAAAATAAAATAAATTTATTTTTAAAACAAAGCAAACACATATATCCTTGTGAATTTTCTATTGGTACTGGTATTAAGAGAAATAAATTTGAATATTAGTGCTTTGAAATAAATCTGGAAGTGTGGTGTGGCCATACCTACGGGATTTTATGCCCAATAGCCTGGACATATTTTTGTCCCCACTTCCAGCTGCATTTGGCTGGTCTAAGGTGAGTGCTTAATGAAGTTGGGCCAATTGGAGTCATTCCCAGGAGGATTGGGAACTTGAACTAAAGTTAGTCCCTTTGGGTTCTTAGGGTATAAAAGTGCATTTTGAAGCTTTGGGCAGTCATGTTTTTCCCCATGTGGATCAGAAAAGCAAGGGAAGCTGATTAGAGAGAACAGAGATGAGACCCAGGTTTCCTGACAGGCTGAGTCCCTAGTACATGCATCCTCAAAGCTTAGCCTCAATCTGTTCCTGTCTGTGGTCTCATGAGACATGTTATGTTTATAATAAATTCCTCATTCGACTTGCTATTTGGGTTTCTGTAAGATCCTAATTTTAGTGCATCATGAGGTTGTGAGCAATAGTTTCTTAAAGCAGAAATAATCATCCCCTATTAGAATATCAAATGATGGTTTTCAGATAGTGCTTTCAATTGTATTAGAGGAACATTTTTAGCAAAAATATTCTACTTTCATATGCACCCACTCAAGATGGTGATTGCAGAGCATGGAGAGGGGGAAAGTGTTGACTGGGCACCTACTATATTCTAGGCTCTGTGCTCCCCACAGTGACAAGTACTAAGGAGAAATAAGACACGGTCCCTTAGGAAGCTTACAGCTTAGTGGGAGAAACAGCTATTCGCTGACCTTCTCAGTGCAATGTGGTGCTCTAAATGAGGCTGAAGGCATTGTGGGGTCAGGGAGGAGAGTGGTTAAACCAGCTTGGAAGGAATCAGAGAAGGTTCCTGAAGGAAATTACATCTGAGCTGGACTGGCTCTGGGAAATAGAGGTCTCCGCCCCAGATCCTGGGTAAGGGCAGATCTTTCTTGGGTCCTTGTCAAATCCTACAGAATTTCTCTTAAATTCTAGCAGTGGAGGGACCAGCAGATGCTGTTACAAGGGAATAAAAAAAAGAGAAGGAATCAAAGTTTCATACCTTCCTCCAGAATCCCCGGGCATGGCCAGGATGAAGTGTGTGGCCATGCGAGCTGTGAGGTCAGAGGTTCCTGGTTCTGGTGACGTGATATTATTAAGTTAGGGCTGAGATGGGGGAGAGCTTTTTGTTTCTTCCCTGAAGTAAATTATTTGGGCCTTTCACATTTCCACTTCATATCATTGCTCATGATGGAAGCAAGTCACATAGAGAGTGGAGTAAAACATTCTGGGTCAGATAACTTGCTATTTGGATAAGGCCCTGGTTTGTGCAAAATTCCGGGTAGGATGTCCAGGACACGTTTCCATGCCCATGGCTTCAAGCCCAAGCTATTGCCTTAATGAGACCTTAGTTTTAGAATATTCTACTTATATTTTGTTATGAATTTATTAAAAAATATTTATTTAGTACCTGCTAAGTGCCAAGTAACTTAGGTGCTGGGGCTATATCAATGACCAAAATGCATAAAAAAATCTGTCACCTCATGGAGCTCATACTTTAGTGGATATAATCTTCTATAGCATAAAATTTAAACAAGGCTTATGCAAGAAGTTATGTTACCCAGCAGATTTTCTCATCGGACTTTTAACCTGCCCCGCTGTCTTGGAGAATGGAACTCAAGATGGGCACTCACAGAAGAACTCAGAATATGGTGGTATTGGCAGATTTCCCTTGACCCAAAATAACTTACACATTTTAATAATGACTCTCAAGAGAAAAAAAAAAAAAATCTATGTTTCTTTGGGGTAAAAATCTTGGTTTATACTTTTTGGTTTTGTCTTAATTTTTGCTCTGGTTGATGAGTGTAGGGGCTGCATTTAGGCATCTGTTCTTCTTCAAAGGATCCTTCATACTTCAAAGCATTTTTCTGCAGAGGAACCTGTTCCGTGTGATCAGCGCTGGCAGCTGAGTGTTAATGCTGGAACATAACGTGCAATAGTCATTCTTGCCTGTTTGCTGATGTTGCCGTTCCTGGGACTGTGTATCTTATAATAATATCTAGCTGGCACTTCTGTAAGCCCATTCTTCCCCAGGACCTGTCGGCCGCTGGTGTTGGAAGCAGGCTCAAACTCTATATTAGGAAACTAAGTAAACTATAGAACTCCAAAAACAACTTCAGCAGTTATACTCCAGAGATAATTGTTAGGAATGTTTCTGCCGTTGAAAAATTCAGAATGTATTTATCTAGGTGTGTGTAATTTACAATTAAAGTCAGTACTTGTATTATAAAAGAACTTTTAATCAAATGTGTTTTTAAAGACTTTTACCTCCATGTATTATTATTCTTACACAAGTTGAAGTTGCAAAAAATAAAAGTAAATGTGTGACCAAGGTACTTCAAGAGGTGTTTTCTTCATTCTTCCACAGTTTATTTAAAAGAAGTCAACCAAAACTCTTCACCAACACAAAACTCCTTAAGGCTGCTTTCTGTGACACATGTAGTTATTCTTATAGGATGTGTACAGAATATCAAACATTTTGAAACTCTGGGATCCAAGCTTGGCAACAACTTGTCATATGCTCATTTTTAGTAAGAAGTGAGAGAGAACCATTATCTGACTTGCTCTGTAAAAGTTTTGAAATACTTCAATGTGTCAACTAATTTTAATAAACCTATTGCTAGAATGCTCTTTTTTAAAACCACCTAGGAACATTTGCTTACTCAATGAACCAGAACCAGCAATTAAAAAAAAAAAATCACTCATCCAGCTTATTGTGTTGGTTGGTTGGTTTTATTGCTAAAGTTAATCTAGCCTTGAGCCTTACCACCACCCCTCTGCCTCCTAACCCCAGCTGCATGTCAAGCTGTCGGAACCCTTAACCAAGCCAGTGCTCCTGATCATTCTATAAACGGCACAGGGATGGGAAAACTTGCTGCTGAACTATTATAATACAAAGGCCACAGAGCACAGGAACTTGATTCACACAGATCTGGGCTTCAGTCTCAGGTCTGTCACTTACTAGGAGGCCCTGGGCAAGTTACTTAACCCCTCTACTGTCTCAGCAACAAGGTGAAAATAAATAATAAATAGTGTGGGCTGAGATGAGATAACGCCAAAAAAGAAATGCTTAGCCACCACCTGGAATACCTTAAGCACTCTCAAGATAGGGTTTCAATTAATATTAGTTATTATTAGTAAGATCAATAATAGTGATAAAGATTATGATAATAGTGATATTTTCTAATAAGTCTTATTAAAAACAAGGAATCCATTTCTAAGTTAAGTCACTGCAGTGCAAGTTCTCTGTATTTTTAAGGATTTCTCTTCCTACTCTTGTCCAAACAAGCCATGGGTAGGTGAAGAATTCCAACTCAGCAACAGGCCCTATAAAATTGCTTCATTTCTCTCCCTATATTCTTCATCTCTCCCTTCCCAACTCCCCCCTTGATAGTACCCACTGAGAAAATTAAGGAAGAATTATTACATTGCTATTGAAAATAAATAAAGGCCTAGTAATGTTTAAATTATACTGAGATAAGTTAGCTATTTTGGGAGGTGTAGTTGCACTTTAGTACTTGTAGACTCAAAATTATTGCTTGTATTAAAAGTAGCTTGGGCCAGAAACTAAGAATAACCTCTCATATTTGTTATTCACCATGCGCTTACACAGTAAGAATTATTATACCCATTTACTTGATGATAAATCTAAGGCTCAGGAAGCTTAAATACCCTGACACATCAAATTATTAGTAAATCATTGTTATCTGCCTCTTAACTTTGGTACCTAAGACTTTGAAATAAAAGTGCACTAAAATCATACACTGTCCAAATGGAAAGAAACAGAAATGAGTTGTTCTAGACTCTGCCAATTGGCTAAATAAATGATCGCTAGAACTATGTGGTTGACAAAGCTTTGAAACATTTTAAAAAGTAAAAAACTGAACAGGGATAAAATAAGAAAACTGTGTAGCAACCACCTAATTAGTGGAGTTTTTTTGTTTGTTTGACTGTTTTTAGTTTTTATTATTTCTAAAAAACATGTTTTCATCGATTGTTTTTAGGTTGAGAAGAAGGGAGAGGGAGGAGGGAGAGAAACATCAATGTGAGAGAGAAACTGGTTGCCTCCCATATGCACCCCAACTGGGGACCAACCTACAACCTGGGCATGTGCCCTGACCAGGAATTGAACCGGTGACCGTCTGGTGCACGAGACAATCCTCAACCAACTGAGCCGCATTGGCCAGGGCTATTTGACTGTTTTTAAAATTCAACCTTTCAGATAAATTTAACAGACTTAGCTATTTTTTATTAAGTTAAAATATCTGAAAATAGGAGAGAGGGGCATTGAGTAAAACACAAATTGAGTGAGCAATATGGCGTGCACATTAACTTAATATCATGCTCTTGTTGGAGAGTATTTTACTTGGTGAGATCAAAATAAATTTTTAAACCTCAGGATATGAAGAGATAACAGTTTGGCTGTTCCTGAAGTTCTTACAAAGAATAAAGTTTTATACAAATTGATGTCATTTTTTAAAAAAATTTTTTCCTGATAACCAAAATTAACTATGCATTGCTTGAGTCTCTTGAATTCAGCAGAACTTCATTAAATGAAATCCTACCAATCTAGAATTTGTCACCATTCAGGAATGGACTAGGCAGATGTTTACCTTCACAATAACTAAGAAATAGTATTTACTTTAATCATAGGAAGAATATCAATGTCAAACCTTTCCAATCCATTGAAAATTGCACTACAGAAGCAGCATCTTTTTTTTCATGGTAATATTATCACTTCATGTGACATCAGGCACATGCTTGAAATCAAACTCATCATTCTCTTAAACTACCTTCACATTCTAATTCAACTGATTAACTATTTTCAAAAGCTGATAATTAGTACACACACAAAAGTGCTCAAAGTACAAGGAGGGA